GGCCATAAGTGTCCAGATATTTGATTAAAAAATATTCTGGATGCTTCTGTGAAGATTTTTTAAATAAGATATTTAAATTGGTAGACTCAGAGTAAAGCATTTTCCTCTATAAGGGACTTCATCTAATCAAGTGAAGACCTGATAGACCAAAAAGTTGACCCCCATGCCCCTTGAGCAAGAGGGAATTCTCCAGAGACTGTCTTTGGACTATATCTGCAATATCTACTCTTCCTGATTTTCCAGCATCCTGCATTTGGACTCAAACTCCAAGTCTTCTTGAGTCTCCAGCTTGCCAGCCTCTCCCATCCAATTTGGGACTCACCAAGCCTTCATAATCATGTGAGTCAATTACTTAAAATAAATATCTTCCTGTATACACACATCCTATTGGTTCTATTTCTCCAGAGAACCATGACTGATAACCACCTTATATGATTCCATTTTGATAGCTTGCTTGAAATGACAGAAGTAAGGAAGGGGAAAAGAGTTAGTGATTGCCAGAATTTGTGTCCTTGAGGGTAAGAAAATAGTTGTGGTTATAGTAGGACAACATGAGGGATTCTTGTGCCAACAGAATTTTCTTTATCTAATACTACTGAAATTAATATCCTGATTGTAACATTGTACCATAGTCTTGCAAAGTGTTACCACTGGGGGAAATAGGATAAAGTGTACTGCTCTGTGTTACTTCTTATGCATGTAAATCTACAATTACCTCAAAATTTTTAATTTTTTTTACAAGTGGAACAAATTGTATCTGATTATTATATTGTGATCTACATGAGGTGTGGGGAATAAACTTGGGTTACTACTCAGATGATTAAACAATCTCCTATAATATTAAACAGCGTTATCTCAGTTGAATGAGCAAGAAAACAACCTGTCATCTTGAGTTCTCGCATTTCTTCCTTTCCAAAAAATAATTATGTACATTAACCATCTGTTTTACCCACCAGAACATATCATGAACTTATGACTTCTCTTTCTCTCCCACCATCGGTGGTCACTAGCAAGCATGAACTGTGGCCACAGCTTTGCAATTTTTTCTCTCCTCTTTCCTGGATACCAACCCATTCCTTACTCAACAGCAGAAGTAATCTTAAAACATATATTGAATCATCACTCCCTTGCTTAACCCCTCCAGTGATTTCCCCGTGCTCCTCAGATGGATTTCAACTCATTCCCATGGTCAGAATGACCATGGCTGCTGTCTATCTTGCCGATGCTATCCCTTTCTGCTTTCTCTTGCTCCCCTAGTTTCACCAAATTTCTCTTCTTCAATGTAAGACTTTTCCTTTCTCAAAATCCATACATAGTTTCCCCCTGCATCTTGCCTGCCCATTCTTCAGGCCTCAAGGAAAAAGTCACTTCTATAGAGAATGTGTCCCTGGATATCTTTTCTAAAGTGGGCCTATCCTATTGTTGTTCTCTTCCTCAGCATTCTTTTTATTTCATAGAATGTCAGCCCACAAGAGCAGAGACCCCGTATATGCTGTTCACGGTTGGAACTGATGCCTGGCAAAATATTCTGTAAATATCACATTTATTGAATGTTAAATCAATAAATGTCCCAATTTACACACCTGTAATCCCAGCAGCTCAGAAGGCTGAGGCAAGAGGATGGGGAGTTCAAAGTCAGCCTTAGCAATTTAGTGAGTCTCTAAGCAACTTAGTAAGATTCTATCTCTAAATATTAAAAAGGGCTGGAGGTGTGGCTCATCGGTTGAGCACCCCTGGATTCAGTCCTTGGTACTAGAATAAAAAAAAAAAAAAGTCCCAATTACAGTTTCAGATGCTCCCTGTGTAGGAGTGGCAATTCATTTGGACTTCTATTAGACAAATACTTACTGAGTGTCTACCAGGCACTATTATAGGCAACAGAGAAAATGATATGGGCAAGGTGTCCACATTCCTAGAACTTAATTTGGTAGGGAGAGTGGAAAACATACTAAATAGACAAATTAGTAATAAAATCTCAAGCATAAGTGCTAGGAAGGAAATAGAGGTGAGTGACAGGCTGGGATGTGTTGGAGAGTGAAGGTGGAAACTATCTTTTGCAAAATGGTGGGGCGTCCTCTCCTCTCTGAGCCTTCAACTGAGTGAAGAGAAACCAGTGAGATTCAAGCATGGGGACAGGCTCTCCAAACAAGGCTCCTCCAATAAGTGGATGCTGCACCTAGGACATATTAGAGGTCAGTTTGGGTGGACCCAGAGGAGGAAAGACAGTCTCAGGGTCAGGCAGGACCTACATCAAATCAGCCTCTTGGGCCATAATAAGGAATGTGGGTTTCCATCTAAAATCAACCTGGAGGCCTGGAGAGACTTTAAAACAGGAGGCATTGTGATCTGATTTAACTTTTTGTATCAATTTTGATTTCTGTGCCAAGAAGTTACCGTGGGGCAAGAGTGGGAGCAAAGAGGCCAATGAGGAGCTGTGCAGACACACAGGAGAGACGCTGATGGTGTGGACCAGAGAGGTATCTGTGGAAAGGATGAGACAGATAAGGATGTTCACAGTTTACCTTTGCTCTTTGGTATCCTACAGTGACAAATTTGGGTCAGAAATTTTAAAAATACATTGACTTTCTTCAGGGACTCAGACTTTCAGATACTTTCTTGGATGATGCCTGGGTTGGCCAAGTTTGAACCCACTGATTTAGGTCCAAAGAGACCCTTTCTACCTTATGGGACACTTTCCCCCAATCAGAAAGGAATGCAGCAGGCTCATTTTCTTTCCTTCTATTTTAGCAAAGAAACCACTCTGATTTTACTGAAAGGAAGGATAACAATGGGGAGAAAAGGTGTGGTGGTTCTCTTCTCTGGCCGTCACCACTTAGAACTTTTGGCATCTGCTAGAGTTAATGAAGTAGTCATGATGAGATCTGGAAGATTTAAAAGTGTGAAGTCAAAAGAACTGATTTCCCCAGCCCAGCGGGTCTCCTGGGTGATTCTGGACACTCGCTGAGTAGACCCCCATCACGACAGCTCAGTACCCACAGCCTGACTTTATCTTACAGCCAAGAAACTGGAAACACCAACGTGATAGACCTGCAGCTCCTAAGGTGAGTGCGTGAATGCGAAGGCCAATTCTCCAGGAATTGAATCAAATATCAGTTCTCCCAGAGCCAAATCAGTCAGCAGAACGAGTGTGACTTAATCCCTGGACCTCTACGCGGGAGATAGTTTTAGCCCATCCCCCTAAATACTACAGACGTTACTCATTTCTGAGCAAGAGCAGAACAAGAGAAGCCCGGACTAAACCAGAAGAAGCCGGTCAGCGTGGCTCGAGATGAGTAGCAGGTGGCGCAGCCAATGAGAGAGGAGATTACTTCCCGCGGCCCCGAGGTGCCCGCAGGGACTTAGCCCTGGAAGTCACGGGCTCATCTGCCTCGCGCTGCGCTCCTGCAAACTTAAAAGGAGAGTTCCAAAGACTAAGGTAGGTAAACAGCAGAGGATAACTGTATTTATTACGACCCCACAACCCTCTTTCTTGCGGTATTTTGCCGCTGGAAAACGACTGCGGAAGAACCTCTTCTGATTGCAGACCGCTGTGACATTGAAGCCTGCGCATCACCCGAGAAACTGGTACGAAAGTCAGTGCCGTTACCTGAGTGCTGTGAAAGCTGTGTCAAAGCTTTGCTCTACCAACTAGAGGACCTCCTTGTTATGAGGAGACAAACTAGTCCAAGTCAGTGCTGAGAGCAGCACCTGGCACAGAGCAAGAACTCAATAAAGATTGTCATTACTGTTTACGTGCGTTCATGCTTTTCCACTAAGAAATTATTGTATTGTGTGTTTGTGTTTACATACATCTCACCTTACACATCATAAACTCTGAGCCAGAGGAGGCTGCAGCTTATTTATGTCATGCAACTTCAGAGCTGTGCTGGGTTCCATTAAAGATTGTGGTTTAAATGTGAAATTATTCACCTTCAGAAACTAAACATGCAGGTGTGTGTCACCTTGAAAAAGCGAAAGAAAAGAAAAAAAATGTGGAAAAAAGAAAGAGATCTGAGTTTTCTCTATTCCCTTACTTTCTCGTCCCTGGCTTTTCATAGTGCCTCTTCTTTTGCTGCTGTTATATTTCCTTTGCTGCAAACTGGTTTCATTTGAGCCCCAGTGTCCCTAGTTGCCTGCACAGTTAAAGCTTAATCTATTTTGTTGTCTGCTCATATCACAGAGGATACCTCTGTGACATAGACCCAAGAAAAGATACATGAGCAGATTTGAGAATGCTGAACTGTCACTTCCAGAAAATGCATCTTGACATATACTGAATCAGTAATAATAATAATAGTAATAACAACAACTGTTGCCATTTGCTGAATCAAACCGTGTGCCAAACACTTTCATATATTATCTCATTTAACACCCCCCCCAACAAAGTGTGTGTTCTGTTATTTCCATTTTATCAGGTAAAGAAACTAAAGGTACATACAGAAAAGTCACAAGAAGCCAATTGTTTAAGGTCACCATCAATAAAGTGTTGAGATTCAAACCCAAGCCCTTTACTCTCTGAAGCTCATTCAAGTACTGTTTAAGTCTGTAACAGCCTCTGGCCACCCAGCCCAGCTCTGAAGCACAAACTCCACAGTACTGGTTCTCCATAGAGAAGAGTGTATTTGCCTCCCATGTCCCTGTCTTTGTCATCCCCATAACACAGCATGACAGCCCAGCATATTTCAGCTTCTACCCCACAGATTCCTCCTTTCTCCTGATCCCCATAATTGCCATACTTAACACATGTGATCACCTCTGGTTTGTAACTTACTCCTAAAAAGATCTGTGCCCATTTTCTTTCCTGATGGAACAAAGGTATTGCCCCAGGTCGCTGAAGCAAAGGATTTATTGATTAGCTTCCATCAATATTCAGCCTCTGTTGGGAAGATTAGACTTGGACTCTTGGTTTGAGGTAGCCCTGCTCCTCCCTCACCTTGCTCCTCCTCCTACAATGTATAACTAGAGCTTGGACATTCAGGCAGGGGCTGTCACTACACACTCAACACGGGACCTGGAATTAAGAGGAGGACTCCAGCCCAGTACAATGACAGAAGATAAGGTAAAGCAGCACCAGGTTCTCTTTGAATCTATCTTTGAGAAAATGAATAGGAGAATCTGTTCAAGTCAGTAAGAGGGTTTGGGGATGCTGGGTGAAGCTACCACAGATCAAGGCTATTTCCCTTTATTTGGCCAATTGATCATTAATTTGACCGCTTTAAAAAAGCAAACAAACAGTTTCTTATTCAATCACTGGGGTTTTAAGGACATTGCTGTTTTCTGACTAGTCCGCATAACTTTTTTCAAGTAATTCTGCATAACCACCTTGCTGAAGGAATGTGACTCTCCCCACACAGGATAGATTCACCTGAATACAACCATAAAAACTGATCTAGAATTTTCAAAAATGTCAGTGCATGAAAGACCAAAGAGGTGGAAGGACTGTTTAGGTTAAAAGAGACTAAGAAGAATGGACAATGAAATGTGACATGTGACCTTAGGTCATGGAAGAAGAAAACAGCTGTGTGGAACAAATTGGGGATAGCTGGAAATTTTCGAATATGAACTCTACCTTAGTTAATATGAACATGTCAATAGTACATTCTTGGAGGTGATAATAGTATTGCAATCATGTAGGAAGGTGGCTTTGTTTTTAGTACTTGTTGAAATATTTAGTAATGAGATGACAGAAATAACTGCAGCTTATTTTTAAATAGTTCAGACGTGCACATGCGCACACATACAGTGAGAGTTTAATGAATGTAAATGTTAACCACTGGTGAATATAGGTGAAGACTATGGAGTGTTAACTGCATGACTAGTTCATCTTCTCTGTAGATATGATGCTTTTCACAATAAAAAATTTTAAGGGATGTACACTCTTGATTCCTTATAGGTTTGCCCCGACCGAACCCATTCACCCTGTACAGTCATATAGCTGATAAACCTGTGCCTGTGTTAGAGTAGGACCTTTAAGCTCTGACCTGATCACACTTGCTCTGCTGAGCAGTCCTGCCTGTCAGTGAGTGGCACGGTTTGGAGCAGGAGTTCTGGAGTCAGTCAGGTTCAGATTGGGTGTTAGCAGATCTGCCTCCCTGCTGTGAGACCTGGGTTAAGTTATTCAATTGAGCTTTTGGTTTTATATACTATGATAAAATAAGAACATATTGGGATATAATATGCCCTATTCAGGGATTGTCCTAGTACTTTAGTTTTGAGAATAATTAAATGATAGTAGTAGAAAGGCACCTTAAATGACAATTTTTAATGATAATAATTGTCTATGTAATGTGAGTTTAAATAATAGTTAGCATGTCATTATTTTATTGGTGTTATAGCCCACGATAAAGCTAAGGTAATTGGAACTTTAAAGATCATATAAAGATGAATATTCAATTAATAACTATGTAGATGGAATATATTTTGGGCAAAAATCATGAAGGTTGTATTTAAATAATTAAAATTTGGAGGATATTTGCAAAGGGGAAGGTAATGTGCCTCACATAGAGTCAGGCATAAAGCAGATGCTCAGGGTTCACTTAGAAGTATAATTAAATTCCCTTAGGGGATTATCAATTAGATTGTAGGACTCTCCTTGAGAACCAAGGAATTGCCTAATAACAGACCCCACAAAGAATGAGAACCAATTTGAAGAACAATGTTTTCAGCCTCATGAATCCACCCAGTGTTTGAAATGGGTAGGATAATCACCGGACTGTGGGTCAGGAGCCCTAGGGTGCAGCTCTGGATGTGCCCTGACTGTGCATAGAACTCAGACGAGGGGTGTGGCCTGGAACTTCAGTTTCTTCAGCAGAACTGGGAGAACAGATAAAAATCCATTGCTCTCTATGCTCTTTTTCAGCCTGAATATTCTGTAGCTTGAGAAGCCCCGGGGCTTTTCCAAAGTTGGGTGCAAGATCACTTTGGCTTTGGCTCTTAGAAGCATGTAGTTTAGAGGAAAGTGCATAAAATTGTGTTCCCTACATAGTGAATCTACTGTTGCTGGAAAATCTACTCTTTTGCTTAGCAGTAACAGTTAAGAACCTCAGCTCAGAGTCCCATAGTAGGGTGTCTGTCACACACGAACAGTGTGGTGGGAGGCATGCCCCTTACTCTTCCCTGACCCTATTTTCCACAGCTTTAAATTGGGAATAATTCAACGGATTTATAGTATTATTGTGAAGATTATTGGTAATATATAAAAAGTTAGCATATGATTATGTGGCAAAAGCAATTAATGAGATGATAATGTAATTAAAGATGCACTTGTTTCTTTAAAGAAAGACCAAATTGTTTTTCTTTATTTTTTACAGTAATCCTATGTATTAACTATTATCATATGTGGTTCATACTCAAAGAAACTGAGGCTCAGGATGATAGAAGCCAGTTAGCACTCTTTTTTAGTTTTTTTTTTTTTGGCGGGGGAGGGGCACGTTTGAACTCAGGGGCAATCAACCACTGAGCCACATCCCCCAGCCCTATTTTGTACTTTATTTAGAGGCAGGGTCTCACTGAGTTGTTTAGCGCCTTACCATTGCTGAGAACTCACAATCCTCCTGCTTCAGCCTCCTATGCCACTGGGATTACAGGCATGTGCCACCACATCTGGCTCTTTTTTAATTTTATGAAATCCACATCTACTTTTTTTTTTTCTGGACAGACACCATCTGACTTCTAAGCTACAAAACACATACCATGTTTTGTTTTTTGTTATGGTTCAGCTTCTTGCTTAATTTAACCTTCCACATTTATCCTGCAGCATATTTTACCTGGATATGGGACTTTGTTTCTCTAATTTAAAATTATTGAGCTCTAAATTAAAGGTCAGCTTTTAGAAGTTCCAGCTGAATATCTTGTAGTCTATGAAGAACTTTAGAGAAAAAGACTTGAAGATCTTCTGCCACTTACTAGGGTTGTGGCCTTTATACAGCTAGCCCTTTCCATATACACTTGCTCATACCTGAAATTATATCACCAATTCCTGTATACAGGGTTATTAAGATAACAGATCCTGGATGGAGTAAGTTCCTCTCTAAGTTCTCATTATTTTCTTTTTATGTACATATCCTGTCAAACTCCTGAACATCAGAGTGATTGGATGAAGGTGGATGGGGCTTTTTCAGACTTAGTAGTTTTCAGAAAATTTTCCCTATCATAAGAAAAATTTTCTTGGAACAAGTCTAGTGTCAGGTCACATAGAAGGCAAAATGTACTTTGCACATGTGATTAAGGTTACAGACCTTAAAGATGGGGAGATTTTCCTGGATTGTCCAGATAGATCAAATCTAATCCCATGCATTCTTAAAAGGGAAGAACTTTCCTGACTGTTTTCAGCATCAGAGCGATGCAACATGAAAACTGGACCTGCCATTGCTGGTTGTGAAGATGGAGGAAGGCCACCATTAGCCAAAAGACTATGGTGGTCTCTGCAGCTGAGAATGGCCCTCAGCTCACAGCCAGGATGAAAACTATACAGCTCAGTCCTACAACCATGAGGAACTGAATTCTACCATCAACCCACATTTTCTTCTACAACCTCCAGAAGGAACATAGCCTGCTAACACCTTGATTTTAATCTGCTGAGATGCGTACTGGACTGCTGCCCTACAGAACTGTAAGATAAATAAGTTTGTGCTGTTTAAACCACTGAGTTGGTGGTAATTTGTTAGAGCAGCAATAGAAATCACAAGGAGTACATGAGATAACCCACCCAGAGCAGTGAGCAGGCATGCAGTAAACACGGATACTCAGCATTAGACGCAGAAGCTGTGTCTGCACTGTGCCTCACACCACGCTGTCCAGACTGGAGTGATGGAACGTGACAGAGGGAGGCTGAAGCCCTTCCCAGGCCCCCGGTGCCCTCACTGCTGTGATAACTAGTACTCTGGATGGGGAAAAGAATTTGAGGAGAAAACACCAAGCAAGTCAATGGTACCCTATCTTAACTTTGTCTGTCTGGCCACTGGGTTCTAGATGTATAGTTACATTTTAGCAGATAGTTCAAAGTTTTTCATAATCCTGTTACCATATAGTATGTGTCCATGCCCATACTTTAGGTATAATATATACTAGTTATTTCTAGTAAACATAGTAAATATAATATGGTATGTGTGTATATTATATTATATTATAATCATGTATTTTGGGTCAACTTTGAAATCTTTCAGAGAAGGAAGTTGTCGGGAGGGAAAGTCTATAGAGATACCACCTACAATTAGTGAAAAGAAAGGGAGTTTTGTAAACCTGCAGATTCCCAACCCCAATTTAAGATTCCAGTCCAGCAGAAAGTCTGGGTAAGTCTCTGGAAGCTACATACATAACAAGATCTCCAAGTAGGGGTCTGGTTTTAGAGCCACCAGACTCCATAACTTTTCCAGCTTTATTGGGGAATCAAGGTCCTGGTTACTAAGCTATACTTCATGCCTGAGTGGGGAGATATAATCATCCTACAATTTAGACAAAACCAAAGCTCCTTTTGAGGAAGTGGGTTGAGTCATATATCACTGAAATAAAAAACTGGAAACTGGAATCCATGATTCATTCCTTCATCCAACAATGTGCCTATTATAACCCATGCTTTTTATTTAAAATTTAAATTATATAATTAAATATATAAAATCTTTTCTCTATAAAATATCTAATAATATAAATAAAAGAACATGTAACATTCCTTCTCAAAATTATCATCTTATTCTTCAAGAAAATATTCTATGCAACATTCACAAATCAAAGAATATTCATGTTTAAGGTTTTTATAAAAACATTCATATGATCAACAACTTCTTTTACCACTTAAAAATAAATTATTGCATACCATCACTTTATTTATTTATTATTTAATGGTACTGAGCTCTGAACCCAGGGGCATTCTACTATTGAGCTACATCCCAGCCCTTTATATTCTTTATTTTTGAGACAGGATCCTGCTAAGTAGCTGTGGCTCCTTTCAAACTTGTGATCCTCCTGCCTCAGCCTTCCAAGTAGCTGTGATTATAGATGTGCACCACCATGCCTTACTATTTACTAACATTTTAAAGGATTTTTACATTTATGTTCTTTTTGACTGCTATACAGTATATTGTATGTATCTGACATATGTACCAGGATGTATCTGAATCTATTTGACATTTGTCATTGAATAACATCAAAATTCTTTCTACAATTTTTCCATTACCCACAAATGTGAATCTGCATGTATCATATAATTTTCCTATAGTTGGTTAGATATATAATTATAGGTTGATGGAGATGAAAATGCTCTGTAATAGCTTCATGGAGTTGGGGAGAAACAATATAGCTTGAGCCCCTGACTCTAGGCTCAATTAGATGCAAATCCTTTAAGGTAGATCACACTGAGGCTGGTTGATGCCTCTTACATGAGTGCTGAAGTGTTTCTGTACCATGGCAGTGTCCAGAGAGCTCCCTGTCCCTTCATTGTATGTAACTTCTCCCAACAACATAAATGTTTCCATCTTGGCAATTTTTTTTTCTTCAGCAAATTCTAGTTCTCAGTTCAGATTCTGAATTCTAAAAAAATATATATGTAAGGAAAAAGATGTTTGGTTCCTCCCCTGGGAAAAGCCATTCCAAACCTTTTTCAGTTCTAGAAGTGTAAGAAAAGATGAATGGTTTTCACATTCTCCTGTGAATAACCCCTACCCTGCCAAAGTGCATAGTGGATACAGAGGGGAAAGAACCACCCTGTGGAGCCATTGAGAAGCCCACACTGCAGCCTGATGGGATGATGAGGAGCTGAAACTGCCTGCTGTTTCCCAACGCTGTGTTTCATCCCACAGATCACTGGAACTTTGATTTTTGCTGTCTTCACTGCTGCCCTGAGTTCCTTCCAGTTTGGGTATGACATTGGTGTGATCAATGCACCTCAAGAGGCAAGTGAAACATACACAAGTTCTTTTGGGGGCATGTCCTATGAGTTCCTCATGTCCAGAGAGTATCACATATTCCCCATGTATAAGATAAAGTGTGTCCACGTGGTAGACACGGGGTAATCCTGGCCGCCAAGTACAATGTGCATGGTTCCAAAGCTGATAAGTTGGCCTTGACTCTCCAGTTAACAATCCTCCCAGAAAGAGTGAAACTAATTCTTGATCTCTGGCTCTGCTAATCGCTGAGCTCATAGAAATCTCTAACTAGAGTACCACATGCCCAGGATGTTTTTTGAAAAAGAGTTTATTGCAGCATTCTTCAGAGCTCTCATCCATACATGAATGAAAAATGCCAGAGAATAACGAAAACAGCAGAAGGCTGTGTTTCACTCAGTGAACCTTTATTGGACACTTACTGCATCAGGTACTTCAACTATCCCCAACGGAGCCTCCCAACAACTTTATTAGGCCTGTTTCCAGGCCAGATTATAACCTTTAGGAACCCTAACACTAAAAAGATTACAGTCCTTTCCTTCCTGCCTGCCTCGCATGGGTTATTCAACATAAAATAATACAAAATTTTAGAACCAGAGTGAAAAAATCCAATAAAGTTTAGATTTTCTCCATGATGAGTATTTTCCTGGTAACTAAAAATGTATATCAGGTAATTTCTACCATTGTTCTCATTATTTTTGTACATCTCTACTCAGTTATCTAGAGAATATCAGAAAATGAGATTTTATCCTCTCAAGGTCCCATAGCCTACAAAGGGGGACAAGGAGAGGACCAGAACTTCATCCCCCTCTGTCACTATTGTCAAGCACAACAGTTGACATACAGAAGGTGCTCAAAAAAGTGTTAAGTGAATAATGGAGAGGGAGGGAGGGAGGAAGAGAGAGAGAGAGAGGGAGCGGGTGGTATAAGGTGGAGTTATGAAAATTGAACATCATGTGAATCCACCATGTTTCATCTGCTTCTCTTATAGCACAGAACTTCAAGAAAAATTCGACACTACAAGTTGTGAATGTGTGTAATGTATAAGAGCTTCTCCTTTGGCCAAAAGATTAGGGGATGTGGCTCAGTGGTTAAGTGCCCCTGGGCTCAATCCCCAGTACCAAAACAAACAAAAAACAAGATGTGTCCCTATTAGGTACCACATCCCATCCTGAGTATGGCAGCAGCCTCGCTATGCCTAAGATCCAGGGAATAATACTGGGGGTCAACAGTCGAGGCTTTTATCTTTTTTTCTTTCTTTCTTTTTTTAAAAAAAATTGTTTTAGTTGTAGTTGGACACAATACCTTTATTTTATTTTTATGTGGCACTGAGGACCGAACCCAGTGCCCTGCACGCGCTAGGCGAGCCCTCTACCACTTAGCCCCAGACCCAGCCCCTCTTATCTTTTTTCCTTGGTTGATAACAAGTGCCAATTAAGGAAGCTTTCTAAAATTCAGTTCCACATTACCATGACTTCAAAAGAGAAATTGGTAGAACTTCTATTTTTATGGAAGACCTTTTTACATCTTATTTAACCATCCTCTCCAGTCTTAGAATGAAAATTAGGCTAAGATCTCCCATCTCCCAATCTCCCATCTCTCTGACTCTCCTGAGTCAGAGCTGAAAAACAGGGACCATTATTTTTTTAAAAACATTTTTTAGCTGTCAACGAATGTTTAGCTTATTTATTTATATGTGGTGCTGAGAATTGAATCCAGGGCCCTCACACATGCTAGGCAAGCGCTCCACCACTGAGCCACAACCCCAGCCTGAAAACAGGGACCCTTCTAATTTTTCAGATTAGTGCCTTCTTGACAAACCCCTCTGTGTTTAAAGAGCTGCTTAAACACCATTAATAATAATGGGTATTTAGGTCCTCTATTTCTTCATTAGCTGAATGATATTTGGAATGTATTTTAAAGTCATATTTTTTATAATTCTAAAACTACAGATACCTAGTACAGAAAATATATGAAAAAACATTCGTAATTTTATGTTATAGAGCAAACTCCTAACAACATTCTGAATATTTCCTTCCAGACTTTTTTTTTAAAAAAATGGCATGTTATCCATGTAAGGCAGCCATCTAATGATTCTCTCCTTCACTCAGGTGGCTTTACCAAACAGGACTTTCCTTATAACTGGTAATACAGAGCAACTACATTCTAGGAACTGTCAGAGAGGACCCCCAGCTCACTATGGCTGAATAGTGATCTAATCAGCAAGAAAAATGAAATGGGAGAAAGATGACGTGAAGGATATATTTCTACATGATTTTTCTTTGGTATCATATTTGTCTCTACCAAAGCACATTATAAAATATGGCTCTGTAAAATTTAGTTTTGAACATCGTTCCTTCTGTTACACACTGAACTCTATGAGGACCCACAGGACAAACTTTCTTCAGTCTTTGTACCTTCTCAGGGCCCACTAGGATATGTTTTTCTTTGTAATTCATCAATCATATACCTGATTGTTTTCCTCTGCACTGACCACCTAGAAGTTAACTGCTAAATTTATAACTCAATTCTCCCAAGGTTACAATACCTAGTGTTTTAATTTTGTGTAGTACCAACTTTATTTTTGACCCTCATCTTATCTTCCCTAATCATTTTTCTTTTATGTTTCTATTTCAGTATTTAAGTTAATTTAAATCCTGCTGTGCAGAAGTAATTCTGGTGTAAACACATCTTTTAACTTGAAGAATATTTTCAATATTTAAAGAGTTGCCAGAATTTAAAACCTGAATTGTTTAATATAAAAAAAAAACCTAGAATTCTGGTTTCAGTTAAAAAAATTAAAGGTCATCCAACACTAGTCTAACCTTTTAGCTTCCTCGTTTAGGTGGAGGAAATGCTACCATTCCACAAGCCCACACTTCTTATTCTAGCCCGGGGGTGGGGGGTGGGGGAGGTGGGGGTGGGTGGATATGCACTTCAGGACTCTAGTCACCAGGTACCATGCCTCCTTTACTCATCTATCTGTCCCTGCCTGGTTCCTAATGGCCTCTATTTTATAAGATATGATCAATGTAAATACATCTATCCATGTTTATTAATGGAATGGTCCTGTTTAAATACCTAGCAAACATTTTAATGAAAAAAATCAAAGTATATAGAATGTTCAAAATATTGAATTAACTTTTCTTTATTTTATTTTCTCAGATAATAATATCCCATTATAGACATGTCTTGGGGATTCCACTGGATGACCGAAAGGCTACCAACAACTATGCTGTCAACAGCACAGAGGCACTGCCCACAGTCACATACCCATCGAACCTAGTACCAGCTGGGGAAGAGGCTATGGCATCTGCTGGCCTAATCACCATGCTCTGGTCCCTGTCTGTGTCCAGCTTTGCAGTTGGTGGAATGATTGCATCATTTTTTGGTGGATGGCTTGGGGACAAGCTTGGAAGGTGGGCATAAATTCATAAATATGTAAAAATGCAAAAACTTTAGTATCTTGGAGGTGTTAGAATTTTTTTTTTTGAAAGATGCCATCTTTCTTTTTATGGAGTAGTTTTAGAGTTGTTTTCTCAACTCATAAACATATGAAGCAGGTCGGTGTTAGACCAAATCAGCAGACAACGTTCCTGCAATTTTCTAGTTAATTATGTAGTCAAAATAGCAAAAGTGAATTTATTGTGTATTTCTAGATAACTACTTTGATACTTTGGCTTTGTAAGTTATAGAACATACTAGAAAACCATTGCATAATGGTTACCTCAGGAACTTAGAAGAAGAGCTTAAGTTGGATTTTTTTTTTTTTTAAAAAAACTGGGAATTGAATTCAGGTGGTGGTTAATCACTGAGCCATACTCTCAGCACCATCAGTCTCCCTTTTCAAATTTTGAGACAGGGTCTTGATAAGTTGCTTAGGGCTTCACTCAGTTGCTGCAGCTGGCCTTGAACTTGCCATCTCTTTGCCACCGCCTCCCAAGTCTTTGGGATTACAGGCAAGCATCACCACATCCAGCCTAGATGGGAATCTTTAAACTGAGAGTCCATTGTATGCTTCACCAAATCATATCATTTCTCAAACATCAGTTTTTTCATTTGTAAATTAGAACTTGGCTTTTGGTTTAGTCAAGTCCTAAGGTCAAGTCAACATTCCTGATTCCCAGTAATCCTGTGTACTTGGCATGCGTTTCTAGCTGCTGCTTTGGCTACTGCTATCTCAAAGTCTGGACCCGAGTGAAGCAAGATGAAATATTTCTCAATTCTGGCTTCTATTAGACATTTTGCATGGAAAATATTTGTGAAACTCCTTTACCCTCAAGCTTCACTGAGACAGAGGATATACTATAGCTGCTGGGGTTTTCCTACCATATAGGAAGGAAATAAGATTAGAAAATCAAATGATATTTCTTTAGCTTTATTTCCTGCTCTTTGAGCCCATATTTTGTGTATTAATTATCTTTTATTCTTATAATTAAAATAATACACAGATCAGGAGGCTGAGGCAGGAAGATCACAAGTTTAAAGCCAGCACCAGCAAATTAGTGAGGCCCTAAGTAACTTAGCAAGACCCTGTTACTAAATAAAAATATTTTTTAAAGGGCTGGGAATGTAGCTCGAGCACCCTTGGGTCAATCTCCAATACCAAAATAATAATAATAATAATACATGCCAAATTTGGAAAATTTAGGAAGTGCAAAAACTTCTAAAGGTATAAATAAAAATATAGATGACTAACTTAATAATTCTGAATTACAAATTATTTAGTATCTCCAATTTTGCTACTATAAATTAGAGTCTTTAGTTTTCTGGTTATTAATTGTGACGATTTCTTCCTCTTACACTAGAATTTTATATAATAACACTGTAAGACATTTTCTCAAGTAAAGGGCATCATAGTAACTCAAGTTTTATTACTTAAATTGGAGTCTCCTTCAATTTCTTACATTTTTACCAACGTACTGGTATTTGGTTGAAAACAGATTATGTACACAACAGAATAAATAAATTGCCTTTCATCATTTAAAAAATGTTAAAAATTAGCCGGGGCACAGTGGCACATGCCTGTAATCCCAGGGACTTGGGAGGTTTTGGCAAAGAGGATTGTAAATTCAAGGCCAACCTCAGTAATTTAGTGAGGCCTTGTCTCAAAAGAAAAAATAGAAGATAAAAAGGTCTGGGGATGTAGCTCAAATGATAAGACTCCTGGGGTCAATTCCCAATACCACACACACACACACACAAAAGTAAGAGTCATTTCAAATTGCATCAGATTGGCTTAAACAGTAATTGGAGAATTTTCTAGATTATTTATAAGTCAAATCAAACTGAGCAAAATTAAATTTTAAGATATGAACAAATCAATTGGAGCTACTTCCCATTCCTAAAGGAAAAATTAAACCCTTCCTATATTCAGAGATGAGATTCTCACAGGCCTAGTGACTTACCCTGAAACATGTAACCAGTGGCCTAGCAATAAAGCCAGGATGCATATCCTCTGAAGCCAAGATTTAGCATCAACAATAGTCATAACCATATCAAATGACCATTTATTAAATAACCTATTATAAGGAAATTGAAACTTCTTCCAGCACAATAAAAAAAATCATCTTCCTTGAAAAACAGCCATAAATCTCATAAATTCAACTTAAAAATTAAGATAAAAGAGTTCAGAATCTCTTGTGAAAGTTTTTTTTTTCTGGAGAAAGTCACTGAGAAATGACATGAATAAAAGTGTTGCTAGGATGATTTCTTTACTAGTTAAAAGTAAGTAAATAAAAATATATTCCTTCCATTATAGCTTAAAAAAAAAAAGTCTTTCCCTGAAACTGTGTAGTAGTCAATAGACCAACATTTTATAGACTGAGTTTGCAAGGTCAATTTTTCCAAAGACTGTGCACTTACCTTTTAAGTAGGAGAAAAGTGTGTTGGGCAAGACATGGTCTATGCAATTCACACTATCACAGTCAAGGGAGGCATACACAGCAAACAGAACTCATAGGGCAGGGGAGGATAGCTCCAAGGTAGAGTGCTTGCTATGTCAGGAGCCTGGGCTCAGTTCCCAGCATCAAACACACACACACACACAAAGGAATTTATTAAATTGCAGCATCATTAACCCTTGGTGTTGCACAGATCAGGGTCAGCTCTGTCACTTAATATTAGTATGAAAATGACCAAGTTGCTTAGGTTCTCTAAGACCGTTTTCTACCATCTGCAACATGGGATGGGGGAATATATACCTACTTCATGGCATTATTATGAGGATTAAATGAGAAGGAATATAAAAGATTTGGCCCGATGCCTCACATATAGTCAGCAGGCAACAAATGTGGCCTTATTTTGATGATGATAATAAAGACAATTATGACAATACAAAAATGATGATGATGATGACATTCATAAGAATGAAACCAACACTAACAGGGGTATTCAGGAGCAAGAGCTTAAAAAAATACACTTAGGAAGAACTAAGTTTCTTTCTCCCTGGTTCAATCACTGCATGTATTTTTGTGATTTTCATATGATTATTTTTGAAATTATTTTCATTTATTTTTGGCCATTTCTCACATCTGAATAGAAATTAAAAATCATTTATATTGTATTTTGTGTTCCAGCAACCACTGTTTGCAGTAAGGAAGAGAAACAGTCTGGTATCAAAAATCTTCTCAGGACTTTATTGGTTTTACTTTTTGTCTTTTTTCCCTCCTAACAGAATGGACTATAAGCTAGCTGCTAATAATTTCTTAGGATTAATTGGTGAATTTGCATGCTCTCTGTCCTTGTGAAAAGAAAAATCATTTCACAGTAGTCTAGCAGAGAAAAAAACACCCTTTAACTATTTTTCTACATGGCAGTTCAGGGACTGGCAAGTTCTTTTTAACTGTTCCCTATCTTTGGATAGTTAATAATTTCCTTATATTAATTTCTTTATATTAATTTCCTATTGCTAATGTAATTAATTACCACCAACTTGATGTCTTAAAATAACACAAAACAATTTTCTTACAGTTTTGGAGGTCAGAAGTCCAAAATCAGTTTCACTTGGCTAAAGTCATGATATCAATTGGGCTGGTTTCTTCTGGAGGCTCAGAGCGGAGAGAATTTCTTCCTCTCCTTTTTCCAGTTTGCAGTGGCCCCTTCCTCCACCTTAGAAGTGCATTAATTCAACCTCCACTTCTATCACATCATCTTCTCTTCTGCCTTCCTCTTATGAGGTCACTTGTGATTACATTGTTGGGTTCACCTGAATAATCAGACACTCTCCCTATGTCAAGATATGTCATCACATTTGCAAAATCCCTTTTGCCACATAAGGTATCATTTACAGAATCTGAGGATTGAGACTTGAGCTCTTGAGGGACATTATTCAGCCTATCACGTAGTTGTTGGGAAATCATTTCACTATGAGATTTTAAAGTTTTACTCTAGAAAATAATATGCTTAGTATTAAAGATATTTGCTTAGAAAAGGCCAACCTATCAGAGTTTGAAACAATGAAATAGAATACAACAAGGTGCTTACATATCTTCATGGCAAAAACATTTTTATACTGACCAGTCAGATTCTTTTATTTACTTTGGCTATTTAACTTTGAACAAGGTTTTTGTGCGATTTTTGTATGATTATTTTTGAAAGTGATGTTTTTGTTGTCATTGTCAGCTTTATAACACATTTGACCTTGGTTGACATTAATTCAAGGATTCTGGAAACATGCTAGTATACAGTGTTAAAATGAGGATAATTATAATTATAATTATGATAAACTTTAAAAAGTATGTTGTAGTTATCCAAATAATTTATACTAAAGGAAATTTGACTTTGAAAGTTCCTCTTCAATCTACATCAACTGAAACCTTTACATTGAAAGAAAACAAAAAGAAAGAAACAAGTTATAGATTACAACCACAAAATTGAATTCATCTATCACCAGATAATTATTCATTAAAACAATCAATTTCTGGAAAACTTAGTTAACTGTTTGGAAAAGTCTCAGAAGTATTATCTTAAATCAAACTAGCCACCATTGTGAGTGAATCATCTCTATCAAAATGTGGAGATTAAGTGTATAAAACCCAGGTTGTCTCATCATAAATATTACTTTTGTTAACATGTTGGTCCACATATGAGTCAAAGTAACAATACTGGTTTAAGATTTCTGAACTAGCATTTATGGCAAAATTAAAATAATTGAACTTAGGTTAAAAAAAATCTCAACAAGCTCTGGAAGCCAATAACTTTATTAAGTTTTGATGCCTAATTTGTAATTCTGGCTTTATGAAATTTCAGAATCAAGGCCTTGATGGTAGCAAACATTCTCTCATTAGCTGGAGCTCTTTTGATGGGGTTTTCCAAATTGGGACCATCTCATATTCTTATAATTGCAGGAAGAAGCATATCAGGACTCTACTGTGGTAAGTGACAAAAACACATAAATACATCTTTTCTGAAAATCACTCTGCAGCACATGTGTTAATTTGCAGGGACATTTTTGAGCTTAGGGTTAAGTCACAGAGGGAAAGACAATTGCATAAAGTTAGGTCCTGAGTTGAGAGTTTTGGACCAGTAAATGGGAATTGTGATGTTATCTTAGGATCCTGTACACCGAAATAGCAGCATCTTTAGTTGTCTGATCTCAGACAAATTGTTTAACTCTGACTCTTAGTTCCTTCATCTGTGAAATGAAGAGAATGAAAGTATCTACCCTACAGGGTAATTGTGAGAATACATATAAAACACTAATCATGGAATCTGATATACAAAAACTGCTGTTATTACTTTTGTGGTGCAGTAAACAGTGGAAGACTGCTGTACTCAGACCCCCAGTGCTGACCTGTGGTCTACTTGGCTGTCTCTGTTTCTCATACCTGACCAGACCTAGACACCTGTACCCATCTCTTTAACCATACACTCCAGCCCTGTCTGATCCCAAGCATGGCTGAGTGAAGCATTAAAGAGGTGGTGTCTGTAGGGAGAGGGAATCAGGCAAAAGCAGCAGCAAAGTTCATAAATCTCCTCCCAGGAACTTCATGTCTGAATATGGGAATCACTAGTTTTTGGATACAGCTTTTCAAATGTCCAGAAGCAACAAATTAGCAGAGGTTTGAAAAAAGGCAGGAACATTCATTCACTAAAATAGACAAATATTTAATTTCTCAAGGCCAATGAATCCTTAATTCTGATGGTTCTGGGCTGATGTTTTAACCTATTCTCACAAACTGGAGTTGCCCTTCAATGCAATAATACCAAGCGGGGCAGGGAAGGAATGATGAGGGCACAGAATTTGTATGTAAAGTATTTCTAATATTCTGACTGTTAAAGTTGCTAAAATTTATAGGAAATATAATTTGACTTCAGATTCATATGATTTCAGACTTGTGAACTTAGCTGTATCATTTTGATTTTGAGATATAGTATTAGATATTATGGAAAGATAGTACAACCTCAAATGTTTTTTTTTTTCCTTACTGAAGCTGAATAGGCAGCATGTTATAGTTACATGTAAAATTCTCCAGAAGTTCAGATGCCATATCAGATATTCAAATATTCACTGGAGATATTAAGAATTTGGAGCATTAAATATGCACATTGAAAATAGTTGCCAAAGCATCTTTCATACAGAGACCATCCACTTCCATTTGATAATCAGTAGGCAACCCCTAAGAGATTGCCTTCTGACAGATCTTAATTTTTAAGAAAATGCCAAACACTGCAATCAGCCAATGGCTGGATGGGTATGCCACCTTTTCAACATGACTGATCAAATTTTTCATATTCCTTTACAGCACAAAAGTCTCTTTTCAAATAAAATCTTTTCTGAAGCCTAATACCGTAGAGGGAATAAAGGAGCTGGGTTGCTCTGACAACTGGGGGAAGAGTCCTTGAGTTCCTTAACTCTTCCAACTCTTCCACCTACCTCTCCACCCCAACAGGGACCTTGCCATACTTCCACATTGTGGAGATTGGTAGTTCTCATGCTAACCCTCCATACCATGGGATCTTGACACATCATTTCTCACCTCCATTGAGAGGCCTGTTGGTGTCCTAGTTTCCTTTAATTCCATGAGTCTATTAAGAATATTATTTAAACATTCTTCAGTCTCTTTTCTCAAGAGAACTTCAGGCTCTATGATGTAAACTAAACATTAAGGTAGGGTTTTTTTTTTTTTTTTGAAAACTGAGACAACACCATGAAGAATTGCAAAATACATGACCAAGCATTTCTTTCTGTCAATATTTTCAACTACACCTTCATCATAAGGTTGTATACAACCTTCATTGATAAGGTTGTATCAACAAATTTGTTTTGCATGAATTGTGTCTTTGGCTAAAGACAAGGGCCCCTCATCCCAAGGGATGCAGGAAGGGAGTTTCAGTCTGGATACTGGGTTTACTTAGATCAAATCATTGTTATTGAGATGTTCCTGGGTGTACTTTAACATTTGTTATATTCATGTTTCATGCAGGGTTAATCTCAGGGCTGGTTCCAATGTATATTGGTGAAATTGCTCCAACCACGCTCAGGGGTGCTCTTGGCACTTTTCACCAGCTAGCCATTGTCACCGGCATTCTTATTAGTCAGGTAAAAACTCCTCATCCTCCATTTTACTTATCCTCTACTTCACCCACTTCTCCTTTCCTTTCTATTTTCATGGTAGACTAGCACAGAGGAAGATAATGATAATAATTATTATTATTGTAATTATAGGAGCAGATTAATTATTTAAGTATAACTAACAGCAGTAGTGAAAATGGTACAGAAACACTGGCATTTTAGCTCAAAGTTAAACTATTACCACTTCTGATTTTTCTCCTTAAAAGTTGTTTGGTGGGATTGGCACTAGAATTGAAACTTCCAATACTATTCAGGAATTAAGTTATTTGATTTAGATTTCAAAAAATAGGAAACTTCATGTTTTTGACTGCATGGGTTTCCTTTGTTTTGATCATCTTTCCTGGAAACCTAGCATGCAAATGATGATTACAGGAGCTCTTGTTCCGATGGTTCTCTCCTTCTCTTCTACCCTATGGCCTCAGAGGGAGTTTTAGAACCTCATATTTAATCATCCAGAAGGATCTCTGAAATAGGATTCATAAAGCTGATTTTCACTAAGCAATTGTTCTATCTATGATGGAATAAAGGAGCTGGGTTGCTGAGTAATCTAAGCAATTTAAAAAGAAATATTTTCTTCTTTTTTGTACATTCTTTTTTTAAAGAATTTAACCTTTATTTTTTATTTATTTGTTTTTATGTGGTGCTGAGAATTGAACCCAGTGCCTCACACATGCTGAGAAAGCACTCTACCACTGAGCTACAACCCCAGCCCCAAGAAATATTTTCTAAGAAAAAACTTTGGAACAAGGCCCCCAAATTATGTATGATTTTAATACAGTATTTTTCTATCTGGTTGCCTAGAGACTATAGCAATATGTTGCTTTAGATATAAAATGTATTTTTTAAAAGTTGGGTTGATTCCCAACCTAAATGTGTAAATGAAGTTAATACAAACAAGCCCAGTTGAATTATTTGCCAAGTAAATTGTCCCTATTTTGGTTAAGATTAGATGTAATGGTTTCCAACTTGTGCTTACATGAACCAGGACTGTTAGGGATTACTACTGAATAGCCAATGTGTTTTTTCAACAAATTGTAGAAGGCATATGCAAAGCATGTGCAGCTGATAAGTTTCCTCCTTATCCTCTCAGATTGTTGGCCTTGAGTTTATCCTGGGCAATCATGATCTATGGCACATCCTGCTTGGCCTGTCTGCTGTGCGGGCCCTTCTCCAGTTTCTGCTACTCTTCTTCTGTCCAGAAAGCCCCAGATATCTTTATATCACATTAGAAGAAGAAGCAAAAGCAAAGCAAAGTGAGTATGTAGATGTTTTTTCTTTCTTTCTATTGTTTTTAAAATACCAACTTTCTATTGTTTTTGAAACACCAAACAGTGTGTATGAATGGTTGCTAACAAAATTATTAACAGGGACTTCCAAATGAAGTCAGTAATTACATGTAATAAGAATGTGCAAAATCACTTTGATAGGACTGGTGTGTGCCATATCACACCTGTAAGCATGCACTAAAGCCCACACACAAGGGACTTAACCAGAGACTTCCAAAAGACTGTCTAGATTTATGCTTCTATGATAATGAGGATCATAGTTTTCTGTCAAAAGATGAAGCCAAATGTTCTGCCTTTTTACATCAAAGAGCAGGATTTAATTTAACAAAAGAGAATTTCCAACCCCTATGCTATAAAGTAATAGAATGGGACATGCAGAACTATGGCTGTTTCATGAACACAGTAAAAATAAATTAATTTTTGTTTTGATCTGAGTGAATTGTTTCAACTTGATAATTTCGGGGAACAGGCTTAAAAAGACTCAGAGGAAGTGATGATGTCACCAAAGACATAAATGAGATGAAAAAAGAAAAAGAAGAAGCATCAAGTGAGCAGAAAGTCTCCATAATTCAGCTCTTCACTGATTCTAGCTACAGACAGCCTATCATTGTGTCATTGATGCTGCATGCTGCTCAGCAATTTTCTGGAATAAATGGGGTAAGTTGAGAATATCTTCTAAATTTAAGAACACAAAGTGAACTAAGAAGGAAAGAGGTTAAAGTCTAAATAACTAAAGGATGCTTTAAAACATTGACATCAAGTGTTACTACATAGATATCAAGTGTTACTAAAACAGAAAATTAAGTGAAAATTTTCTTTTCTAAAATAGGTTGCAATTCTTTAAAATGTCAGTACTCAATGGTGATTTATTTGTATTAAGATGAAACAAGGGAGGGGAGGGGGGATAGTAGAGAATAGGAAAGGTAGCAGAATACAACAGTTACTAATATGGCAGTATGTAAAAATGTGAATGTGTAACCAATGTGATTCTGCAATCTGTAAAATGGGAGTTCATAACCCACTTGAATCTAATGTATGAAATATGATATGTCGAGAGCTTTGTAATGTTTTGAACAACCAATAAAAAAAAAAAGATGAGACAAAAAGGCAAAAGTCATAGTAAATGCAATGAGAAAAAAGGAGAATAATCATCATTTCCAAAAGGGGAAGGTCCCTAAATTACAAGAGGCTTCCAGAGGTGAGAATGAAATTTAGGATTTTTGATAGTGAGGGCAATAGGAGTCTATGGTTCTTTTTATTTAAATGAAGGATGCCAGATAGCTAGGTACAAAGAACAGTTTCTTGCCATCAAGAAACTTTTTTATTTGTTAAGACAGCCTATAAAAATAAACAATAGAATGAGTTGGCATAATATTGATGAGTGAGGGTAGTAGATAAGACGTGATTGAAAAATATGGTAGTATCAAACTTTTAGGTTCTGATTTTAAACTCCTTACTGTTACATTGTGTGCATGTATAAATATGTTACAGTTATACTATGTATAGTTATAATGTGCTGTTAAAAAATACACAAAGAAACCCTTGTATCATGCAGACTAAATTAGCCACTAGAAGAAAAATGTAAGGGGGCTGAAGTTTTGGCTCAGCGGTAAAGTGCTTGCCTAGTAAGCGTGAGGCACGGGTTCGATTCTCAGCACGGCACATAAATAAATAAAATAAAGATCCACTGACAACTAAAAAGTACTTAAAAAAGAAAAAGAAAAACGCAAGCTTGTTAAGAAATTAGATAAAGAAAATCACATGCCCTCATCTATTGATATTAAATTATGTGGATTAGGTTTCTATCACTAGTGAGCCAATCCCAGATCCACAAGAGACAATTTAGGGATACTAATGGATGCTCAGAGTCTTGGAGGAGACAAAGAAAGTAATTCTTATCTGTTCAAGTAAAAGGATACCTGAGATTAACATCACTTCATAAACCAATATTTCTCTCATATAGTCTCTAGTAAGATATCTTGATGTTTACCTGTGTACAACTTTGGAACTCACAGACCAAATTCATATCCCCTGTCTCAGTTCTGCCTGTATATCCACTAGATAATACTTAATCTTCCTGAATTTTGTGGTTCATCTTCCATCCCAGGATCTTACTTAAAGAGGTATTGAGAAAATGTTGGCCCTGAGGCTGTGGAACAGCCTAAAAATAGTAGGATAGTGGTATAGCCACTGCTCACTGAACAGTCTGCACAGTTCTCCTGCATTAGTCCTGTCTGCAGGAGGAGCGAGAAATAGGACACGTTGAGTGGAGGAAAAATGACAGAGGAATAACACAATGATCTAAAAGACCATTAGAAGCATATAAACATAACTAAATTTTTTAAAAAGCCATTGGGCTGTGAAATTGATTTCTCCATTCCTACCGAGATTAGTGGAAAATTCTGGATTAATCATAAAAGACAGAACTCTCCCACATTATGATGAGCACGTAAAACTGTCCTAACTTCATTTGAAAATTGTTTGGCCATTTGTACCAAAGCTGAGTATATGCATACCCTAAGGTCCAGCAATTGTCTATTCATAGGTATGATTACATATTCACCAAAAGGACTGTTAGACTGTTTAGAGCAACACTATTCATAATCACCCTAAGTGCCTAAATATTCATCAGGAGTGGATTGAATAACCAAATTGTGGTGTGCTAATACAACAAAATTCTATAGAGTAATGATATGAACAGTCTGCAAATGTGACAATAAGGTAACTCATAAAGGTAACTGTGAACAAAAGAAGGCAGACAAAAAATAGTACATATTATGTGGTTCCATCATCAAGTACAAAACTAGGCAAACTTTATCTATAATGTTAGATGATGGGAGAGTGATTTCTTCAGGACAGTGGATGAGGGAACAAATAGGGAGTTTCTGCAGAGTGTGCAATGATTCATTTCCAGATCTAAGAGCTGGTTATACAGATGTGACCCATTCATTAAAACTAATTCAGTTGTACACTTATGTGTATTTTTATATGTGTTATACTTTAACAAAGGGTCTACAAATTTAAAAAATAGTAGCAAAGTTTTCTAACTGTAAATGTAAGGAGAACTTTTAAGTAATCAAAAGCTTTAAATGCTAAAGGAAGTCTGTTATCTACTCTGGAAAGAGAGGGTGGAGAAAATCTTTAGGAAGTTCTAGGGACTATGGTTCTAGAGGAACATGGAAAAACAAATAATCTAAAATATTTATTGCCTTAAAGACATGAGTGTGAGACTTCCTGATTAAGGCCAAACTGTTTGTACTTTGCAGATATTCTACTACTCAACCAGCATTTTTCAGACAGCTGGAATCAGCAAACCTGTTTATGCAACCATCGGAGTTGGTGCCATCAACCTGGTTTTCACTGTTTTCTCTGTAAGTCGATACCCTAGATAAACACTGCTTGTTTTCTAGTCCAGAAATGGAGGGAAAAACTTGTGATATAAAAGTGATCATTGATTTCTGTCCACGTGCAGTGGGTGTGTAGAATTAAATGGGTCATGCAAAAAGTCCTCTCTGTAAATAAGCCAACTATTGCACTACCAATAGGCTTAACTGAGAATGTGAATCACTGGCTCACCCCACTTCTGGGATGCCATTCAATTAGCTCTTAGTGAAAGAATAACTTACTGGGAGGCATAGAGGAAATTCCGTTGGTTCCTTCTTCATCACTTTATACTTAAACCCCTTGGACTGGCTGGCAGCTTGTCATTTCTATCAATATGTAAAAGTCAGTATGCATAGTTTACCCAGGATCCTCTCCTTCCATGTTTGAAATACTTTTTCCATCCTGATGTCTTGGGGAGAACATTTAAAAATAATAGACAAGTTACTCTCAGATATCTTGGTCTCTAAGCAGAATTCAGCAAACTTGGGAAATTCCTATGATGTTAAGTCATTGGACAGAACTTCTAGGTAATTCCCAAGGAAGTAGCTTCTGGTGATGCATTAGAGGTTTATGTGTGCTTTAGAGGATGGGGTAGAAGTATAAAACTAGAAGTGTTGTTGATCCTTTTGCAACTACTACAAAAAAAAGAGGTCATATGTTCTTCTTAAAACCAAATGTTGTATATAAGAAATGATTCAACATCTTCACAACAATATTTAACATAATCTAAAAGATAAAATAAGTAAACAACAAAGACAAAAACTTCCAGCTAATATAATTAACTCTAAAGTGAATTTTAATTTGAATTAAAAATATTAAAAATAAATGTGCTTGGGCCAGGGTTGTGGCTCAGTGGTAGAGCACTTGCCCAGCATGCATGAGGCACTGGGTTCGATCTCCCGCACCACATAAAAAATAAATAAAAATAAATAAAACAAAGGTATTAAAAAATGTGCTTTCCTGTGTCAGTCATAATACGATACTCCACTTATTTTAGACACTTGTTTTTCATTCTCTGAATATGGACTTTTATCTGTTACCTTGGGGTGGTCAATAAATTACAGTCTGGCTATCTAGACCAAAAAGCAGGTTTGTCTAGACCACATTGAACAGTGCTGAACCTTGGAATGAGAAGGAAGAACAAATAGCAACAGAACACCAGGGATTCTGTAGAAATAACTCAGAGGTAATACCTGCTCAGGCCAAGAGGCCACTCTCAAAGAAGGCCTGTTACTGGGATGGAATGCAAGGGACTACATGCCCTTTTTGTCTCCTGGAATAATATTTTTTATAGATACTGCTGTATCATCTTTTCACAATATGAAGATTATTATTCAAACACTTGTGACCAATAAGATTTTCTTTTCTTTTTTTTTTTTTTATAAATTATATTTTTGCATTTATATTTATCATTCTTAACATATTTTTTCTCAAAATCAGCAAGATATTATAGTATTTCTTTTTTTTTTTTTTTAATTTATTTTTTTATTGTTGGTCGTTCAAAACCTTACAAGATTTTCTATATAGAGTATTGAGTTGCCAAGACTGAATAACCCCAAATTTGGAAAAAAAAAAAACTAGAGAGGAACTATTTTTTTTACTATTATTAATTTTTTTGGAATTTATATATGACAGTGGAATGCATTATAATTCTTATTAAACATATAGAGCACAAAGTTTTCATATCTGTGGTTGTATACAAATTATATTCACACCATTCGTGTCTTCATACATGTACTTTGGATAATAACGTCCATCACATTCCACCATCATTTCTAACCCAATGCCCCCTCCCTTCCACTCCAAGCCCTCTGCCCTATCTAGAATTTGTATATTCCTCCCATGCTCCCCTGCCAACCCCACTATGAATCAGCCTCCTTATATCAGAGGAAAATATTCAGCATTTGGTTTTGGGGGGTAGGCTAATTTCAATTAGCATTATATTCTCAAACTCCATCCATTTACCTGAAAATATCATTATTTTATTCTCTTTAAATGCTGAGTAATATTCCATTGTGTATATATGCCACATTTTTGAAATCCATTCATCTGCTGAAGAGCATCTATGTTGGTTCCACAGTTTAGCTATTGTGAATTGTGCTGCTGTAAACATTGATGTGGCCGTGTCCCTGTAGTATACTATCTTTAAGTCCTTTGGATATAGACTGATCAAATGGTGGTTACATTCCCAGTTTTCCAAGGAATCTCCATACTGCGTTCTATATTGGCTGCACCAATTTTTCAGTCCCACCAGCAGTATATGAGTGTACCTTTTCCCCCACATCCTCACCAACACTTATTGTTGTTTGTCTTCATAATAGCTGCCATTCTGACTGGATGAATGAAATCTTAAGAGTAGTTTTGATTTGCATTTCTCTAATTGCTAGAGATGTTGAACATTTTTTCATATATTTGTTGATTGATTGTATATCATCTTTTGGGAAGTGTCTGTTCAGGTCCTGGGCCAATTATTGATTGGGTTATTTGTTTGTTTGTTTTGTTTTGTTTTTGTTTTTGTTTTTGGTGCTTAGCTTTTTGAGTTCTTTATATACCCTAGAGATTAGTGTTCTATCTGATGTGTGAGGGATAAAGATTTGCTCCTAAGATGTTGGCTCTCTATTCACCTCACAGATTGTTTCATTTGCTGAGAAGAAACTTTTTAGTTTGAATCCATCCCATTTATTAATTTTTTATTTTAATTCTTATGCTTTAGGAGTCTTATTAAGGAAGTTGGGGCCTAATCCCACATGATGGAGATTAGGACCTACTTTTTTTTTCTATTAGATGAAGGGTCTCTGGTTTTATTCCTAGGTCCTTGATCCACTTTAAGTTTTGTGCATGGTGAGAGAAATGGGTTTAAATTCATTTTGTTGCATATGATTTCCAGTTTTCCCAGCACCATTTGTAAAGAGGCTATCTTTTCTCTTATGTATGTTTTTGGCACCTTCATCTAATATAAGATAACTGTAGTTATGTGGGTTAGTCTCTGTGTCCTCTATTCTGTACCATTGGTCTACCAGTCTGTTTTGGTGCCAATCCCGTATTGTTTCTGTTACTATTGCTCTGTAGTATAGTTTAAGGTCTGATAGTGATGCCACCTGCTTCCCTCTTCCTGCTAAGAATTGCTTTAGCTATTCTGGGTCTCCTATTTTTCCAGATGAATTCCTTGATTGCTTTTTCTATTTCTATGAGGAATGTCTTTGGGATTTTGACTGAAATTGCATTAAATCTGTATAGTGCTTTTGATAGTATGGTAATTTTGAAAATATTAATTCTGCCTATACAAGAGCAAGGCTAGATCTTTCATCTTCTAAGGTCTTCTTTGATTTCTTTATTTAAGGCTCTGTAGTTTTCATTATATAGATCTTTCATCTCTTTCATTAAGTTGATTCCCAAGTTGTTGTTGTTTTTTGAGGCTATTGTAAATGGGGTAGTTTTCCTCGTTTCCCTTTCTGCAAGTTTGTCACTGATATATAGAAATGCATTTGATTTACAGGTATTGATTTTATATCCTGCTACATTGCTGAATTTATTTATTAATTCTAGAAGTTTTCTGGTGGAACATTTTGGGTCTTCTAGGTATAGAATCATATCATTGGCAAGTAATGCTAGTTTGAGTTCCTCTTTTCCTATGCGTATCCCTTTAATTTCTTTCGTCTAATTGCTCTGGCCAGTGTTTCAAGAACTATGTTAAATAGAAGTGGTAAAAGAGGGCATCCCTGTCTTGCTCCAGTTTTTAGAGGGAATGATTTCAATTTTTCTCCATTTAGAATGATGTTGGCCTGGGGTAAGATAGCCTTTATGATGTTGAAATATGGTCCTATTATCCCTAGTTTTTCTTGTGTTTTGAACGTGAAGTGGTGCTGTATTTTGTCAAATGCTTTTTTTGCATCTATTGAGATGACCATATGATCTATTGAGATGATCATATGATTGATCATATGATTGATGTGATAAATTACATTTATTGATTTCCATATGTTGAACCAACTTTGCATCCCTGGGATGAATCCCACTTGATTGTGGTGCACTATCTATTTGAAATGTTTTTATATTCAATTTGCCAGAATTTTATTGAGAATTTTTGAACCTATATTCATTAGATATATTGATCTGAAGTTTTCTTTTTTTGATGTGTCTTTACCTGGTTTTGGAATCAGGATGATATAGGTCTTACAGAATGAGTTTGGAAATGCTGCCTCTTTTTCTATTTCCTGATATAAATTGAAGAGTATTGGTATTGGTTCTTCTTTAAAGGTCTTGTAGAACTTGGCTGTGCATCCATCCGGTCCTGGGCTTTTCTTGGTTGGTAGGCTTCTGATGCATCTTCTATTTCGTCGCTTGAAATTGATCTGTTTATATAGTGCATATCATCCTGATTCAATTTGAGCAAATCATATGACTCTAGAAATTTGTCGATGCCTTCTATATTTTCTATTTTATTGGAGTAAAAGTTTTCAAAATAATTTCTAATTATCTTCTGTATTTTTGTAGAGTCCGTTGTGATATTTCCTTTTTCATCCAAGATGTTAATAATTTGAGTTTTCTCTCTCCTTCTCTTCATTAGCATGGATAGCATGGTTTGTTGATTTTATTTATTTTTTTCAAAGAACCAACTTTTGGTTCTGTCAATTTTTTCAATTGTTTGTTTCAATTTTACTGATTTCAGCTCCAATTTTAATTATTTCCTGTCTTCTACTGCTTTTGGTGTAGATTTGTTCTTTTTCCAGCTTTGAGGTGTAATGTTAACTTTTTGTAACATTGACTTTTTCTTCTTTTAAGGAATGAATTCCATGCAATGAACTTTCCGCTTAGAACTACCTTCATAGTGTCCCAGAGATTTTGATAAGTTGTATCTGTGTTCTCATTCACCTCTAAAATTTTTTTTAATCTCCTCACTGATATCTTCTGCAACCCCTTGTTCATTCAGTAGCATATTATTTAGTCTCCAGGTGCTGGAGTAGCTTTTATTTCTTATTTTATCATTGATTTCTAATTTCATTCCATTATAACCTCATAGAATGCAGGGTAGTATCTCTACTTTTTTATATTTGCTAATAGTTGCTTTGTGGCATAGTATATGGTCTATTCTAGAGAAGGATCCATGTGCTGCTGAGAAGAAAATATGTTTACTCATTGCAGGATGAAATATTCTATATATGTCAGTTAAGTCTAAGTTATTGATTGTTACTAAGTTCTATAGTTTCTTTATTCAGCTTTTGTTTGGAAGACCTATACAGTGGTGAAAGAGGTATCTTAAAGTCACCCAAAATTATTGTATTGTGGTCAGTTTGACTATTGAAATTGAGAAAAGTTTGATGAATGTAGATGCTCCATTGTTTGGGGCATATATATTTATAATTGTCAAATCTTGGTGTATGGTATGGTTCCCTTGAGCAGTATGTAGGGCATATATATTTATAATTGTCAAGTCTTGGTTTCTGGTATAAGGTTCCCTTGAGTAGTATGTAGTGTCTTTCTTTATCCCTTTTTATTAACTTTAACTTTATTTGATATGAGGATGGAAACCCCTATTTGCTTCCCCAGTCCATGAGTGGGGAAATGAAGGATACAATAAACACTACGAATACAATATACTCTATGAGTGGTATGATTTTTCTCAACCCTTCACCTTCAGTCTGTGGATGTCTTTTCCTATGAGTCTCTTGGAGGCAGCATATTGTTAGGTCTTTTTTTTTTTTAATCCAATCTGCTAGTCTGTCTTTTGATTGGTGAATTTAGGCCATTAATAGTCAGGGTTATTATAGAGACATGGTTTGTATTCCCAACCATTTTTGGTATTTATCGTGACTTGGTTTCCTCCTCTGATTCGATTTTCCTTTAGTGTAATACCTCCCTCTGCTGATTTTCATCATTGTTTTTCATTTCCTCTTGGTGGAATATTTTGCTGAGAATGTTCTGTATTGCAGGCTTTCTAGTTGTAAATTCTTTTGACTTTGGTTTATTATGGAAGATTTTTATTTCATCATCAAATCTAAAGCTTAATTTTGCTGGATATAAGATTCTTTGTTGGGATCCATTTTCTTTCAAGAGCTATATGTTGTTCCATGATCTCCTGGTTTTGAGGGTCTGGGTAGAAAAATCTGCTGAGATACGAATTGATCTCCCCCATATGTGATCTGATTCCTCTCTCTTGTGGCTTTTAAGAATCTATCCTTATTCTGTATGCTAGGCGTTTTCATTATAATGTGCCTTGGTGTAGATCTGTTGTAATTTACATTTGGTGTTCTGTAAGCCTCTTGTATTAGGTTTTCCAATTCATGTTTCATGTGTGGGGAATTTTCTGCTATTATCTCATTGAAGAGATTGTGCATTCCTTTGGTTTGAAACTCTGTGCCTTCCTCTATCCCAATAACTCTTAGATTTATCTTCTGATGCTGTCCCATAATTCTTGGATGTTCTGTTCATGATTTCTTACTATCTTCACTGTGTGATCAACTTTATTTTCCAGATTGTATACTTTGTCTTCATTATCTGACATTCTTTCTTCCAAGTGATCTAGTCTGTTGGTTATGCTTTCTATTTCTATTTCTATTTTTATTTGGTTATTGTAACCTTCATTTCAAGTATTTCTGATTGGTATTTTTTCAGAGTTTCTAACTCTTTCTTGAAGTAATCTTTTGCTACCTGTATTTGCTCTCTTATCTCTTTGTTGGCGTGATCAATTTTTGACTGTATTTGCTCATTTAGGTCATTCTTTAATTCACAGATCATTTTAATTATGAACCTTCTAAACTCCTTCTCTGACATTTCATCAACTTCTCTGTCCATGGGTTCCGTTATTGTAATATCCTGGTTTGTTGGGGAACTTTCCTCCCTTGTTTTTTCATGTTGTCTACGTGTCTTTCTTTCTTGCAGTATGGATCTGAGATATTACAGTTTCTACTCTATATTCTTGTAATATCTGTGCATATTGTCTGTACCTCACTTTGATATTGGGCTTCCAGACCCTGTTGGTGTCCCTCAGCGTATGCTACTGCAACTAAAGGTGGTGGCAGCAATAGCCAAAGTAACTCGAGATAATAGTGGAGGTGCCCCAAGATGAGGCAATGACTTACAGAGATGGGGCTGAAAGGGCCGGCCTTACACTCTCTTTGGGATGCCTGCTCTGAGACGAAGCTGTGTCTAGGACCTTTCTGTTGTGGAAAAGGTAGGGGCTACTGCATGGGGTAGTCTATGGCGATGACTGCAGTGTCCCAAGATGAAAGTGAGTTAGGCTTGGGCTCCCAGGTGGTGGTGGTGGGGAAGAACTCGGACTTGCCTGGCAAGTCAAGTCAGTCCAGTCAGTCTGTGAGGGCAGATCTGGTCTGGGCCTGATCTCCTGTGTTAGTCTGCTGGTTGGAAGATGTGGTCCTGTGCTGGAGGCTGGGCTCGGTTGGGTGTCTGCCAGTGACAGGATGGACCCAGTCCTACTGTGAGCCTGGGTTCCTATGCAGGCTGGTGTTGAGAGAAACATTCTTTAAAATTTTATTTTTGCACTTTGCACCTAATCTCATTGGTGAGAGAGGAGTCATTGTATTTATAATAGTTTCTTAATTATTTTGAACATAACTTCTGGAGCTCATCCTTTTATTCTGTAAAAATTTTGAGCAGATGAATGACATTATTTAAAAAAAAATCAGTTCAAATCATTTCATTAACTCTCCAAACCTACAGGTAACATTTTAAATTTTTAATTATATTTGTTTTAAAAAGTCATTTTAAAGTTCAATAGTACAAAAAGAAGGGTAACTTAGTCACCCAGTTTCTCTTCTCAGAATTAACCAATGCTACCAAGTCCTGTGCATTCTTTTCAAATAAATAGGATAATATATTATTGATAATATAGTAATATTTCACCAGCTTGGAAGCAACATAATCAATCTGGTTTTTTCTGAATTAGTGTTTGGGAAAAAGAGATTTTCCCAATAACAAAATGAACTATGTTCCATATTCCATGTTTTCTTTCATGCTAATGAGCTGTTAGAAGGGAGCCTATAATCTTGAGAGAGAAAACAGGAAGAAATGTGGAGGGAACTGGGAAGCAGGGTGGGTCTGGGGCATCAGGAGTGGCTACCAAACTCTAACTAGGTACCACCTGGGATGTGAATGATGCACAGAGTTTGGCAAAGGTGAATGTTAGGTGGGACAGATGTCTCCAGCTACTGGCCATGTCTCACCCTTGTCATAGGCATCCCTGAGAGACTACCCAGTCTCAAGGAGACAGTCCAACTCAATTTTCAGGACATATAGTTTTAGGATTTATTATCCAGTAAATACACATTGTTTTAGAAACAGCAGAAACATATAGTAAGAGCCCTTATTCCTGAAGAAATGTTTCTATTTTTCCCAGTATCTTGACATGCATCATCAAGACAGCTTTGAAAGTCAGAATTAAAGAATCAAAATGTATACTGATATTTGATGAATTTGAGAAAGGTTCGTTTTTCTACTTCTTCTTTAATACTTAAATGTGGGCCCTTTGTTTATCATCATATCTGAAATGATTTGAAGTTCTGACATGCATGTGTCTCTTAGATGAAAAGGGTTTTCACTGTAGGTGAAAAGAAAAGAAATACTTCTCAGGTATTTTCAGAGCTAGAGTTAACCATACTAAGCATTTTGTATTGCTATTAATTTATTGATAGAATGATGAAACTAACTGATTTACTCACCAAGATGAGAAATTGTGACAGGTGTATTTGTGTGTGAGTGAGTGTGCATGTTACCAGCTTTGGTAGTATTCCATGGATCATGGAGGCAAGAGCATATTCAACAAATGTTGGTCTTGGTTCATTGTAAATCTTAACCATTAATGCGAAGGTACCCAGACTCAAAGGAATCAGTGACATATTATCTCAATTAGAATAGAAAAGCACTCTAACCCTTTGCCTTAAAATTTTCTCTCTTTAAATGCATAGTTCACTTCCAATACCTAGTGTACTTCCAATATATTTAAGTGCACCAGAAAAATGCAGACCTGTCTATTTTGGCTCAATGATCAAATTCTGTATGTTGCCAGGTGAGTGGTCATAATTTGACTTTATTAAGCAGTGAGAAAGTTGGATGGAAAAGTTGATACCTGAGCAGCTGTCCTGTTTCATAATCACCAGGAGAGAAATTAATGTCACTTTTTAATGTAGATCTTTCACATTTTAAATGTGCAGGTAATCTATTGGGAGAGATGCAAGCTGTACAGCCTCTGACTCTTGTACTCAAGGGGATAATCCTAGAGAGGTGGTAACACTGTGGTTCTATCTCTAGAATGGCCTATTTAAATCAATATAAACAAATTAAATAGATATCTGTTAATTATCCCTGTTCACTGAGCCAATTCTGCCACCTGAGGCCAGAGTCCCTCCCTGCCTCAGTCTCACATCTATAAAATGGAATAACAGCACTGCCTCCTCCCCTACTGTATAAATTAAAATGACTCTCTTGCAATAAAGTTGATTTAAAGGCAAGATTTTGTGACTCACAAAACTAAGATAATATTTTCCAAAACTTTCCTAGGTATTGCTTGTGGAGAAGGCAGGGCGGCGCTCTCTGTTTCTAATTGGAATGAGTGGGATGTTTTTCTGTACCATCTTCATGTCACTGGGACTTGTTCTTCTGGTGAGTTTTGGTGTCTGGATAGATGTTTGGTTATCATAAAATAACATCTCTGAGTTCCAGGCTAAAGTGCTTTCAATGTCAAAAACATTTCAGAATGGTTTATGGAATAAAGCCAGAGGGACAGCACATAATAAAATAAGACTAAATGGGGAACTCATTTCTTCACCTTAGACTAAATATCAGTGTGTCACTTACACTTGTTTTCCAGGGAGGCAGTGTGGTCATGTGGTTAGGGCATAGGCTTTAGAGTCAGCTCCAATGAGATTCAAATTCTAGCTCTGCATCTGGCTGCCTGTGCCTCTCTAGTGAGTATTTGAACCTCTCCCAACTCAGGGTCCTCATCCACCACTTCACAAGAAAAATACACCTTGCCTAGCTACTTTGGTATAATTAGGAGCAAAGGATATTGGATTGTTCATAGGAAAGAGCAAGTAAGGATCAAATTAAAAATCTAATCCAGGGGCTGGGGTTGTGGCTCAGTGGTAGAGCACTCACCTAGCATGTGTGAGACCCTGGGTTTGATCCTTAGCAACACATAAAGATAAATAAATAAATGTATTATGTCCATATACAACTAAGAAATATTAAAAAAAAAAAATCTAATCCAGCCAGTGCAGTGGCACACGCCTGCACTCAGGAGTCTGAGGCAGGAAGATTGCAAGTTCAAAGCCAGCCTCGGCAATTTAGTGAGGCCCTAGCAACTCAACAATACCCTATCTCAAAATTTTAAAAAATAAAAAGGGCTGGGGTGTGGCTCAGAGATTAAGGGCACCTGGGTTCAATGCTCTGTACCAAAAAAACAAAACAAAAAACTCTAAATCTACATGATTTGCCTTAATATAAGGACTATCCAGACAAAAATATTCTAGTCTCAGACTAGAATAGTCTGAGACTAGAATATTTTGTACTCAACAGAACATAAACACATTAGGAAGAGAGTTGTGTCCACCTCTGAACTGAGAGGGGTCACTTAGCTAACGGAAACAGCAGCCAGTGAGCCGAGCCTCACTTTTGTTCTTGTTTTGCTTTTTTCTTCAGGAGAAGTTTGCTTGGATGAGTTACGTGAGCATGACGGCCATCTTCCTCTTTGTCAGTTTCTTTGAAATTGGACCAGGCCCCATCCCTTGGTTCATGGTGGCTGAGTTTTTCAGTCAAGGACCACGCCCCACCGCTTTAGCACTAGCTGCATTCAGCAACTGGTTCTGCAATTTCCTTATAGCTCTGTGTTTCCAGTACATTGCGGTAAGTAGCCTGATGCTGTGCAAATTTACCGAGCAGGAGATGGGTCAAACCGCTGCTAATTGGACCTCTGTGTTTGTTCTTCATCCAGGACTTCTGTGGACCTTATGTGTTTTTCCTTTTTTCTGGAGTGGTCCTGGCCTTTATAGTGTTTACGTTTTTTAAAGTTCCAGAAACCAAGGGAAAGTCTTTTGAGGAAATCGCTGCAGAGTTTCGAAAGAAGAGTGGCTCAGCCCCAAGGCCAAAAGCGGCTGTAGAAATGGAATTCCTTGGAGCTACAGAGACTGCGTAAAGATGACTGCTTTTTTATATGAACAGGAAGGAAACTGTTTTTAAGTGACTCCTTGAGAATTTTGTATCTACATCTCCAAGTATGCTTTATTTTTTTAGAGTTCGGTAGGCTCTGATCAGAAATGTATCAACAAATATTACCACAGAAAGTATTTTTATAATTTAAAGAATATATTTTTGATGGGAAAACTCTGTAATTAAGTGAACCAAAAAGGGTAGCTCATTTTGCTACTGTCAAAAGCAAGTATGTCCTAATCTTCTGACCCCTATTTTTTTTATATAATAATGCTTCCTTAAATTTGAAAGGCTTTTAAGGTATGATATTATTGCTTCACAAAGTACAGGACTAGAAGACCAAGGATACAACTGACATTTATATATTCAAATCTAATTAAACTGGAATTTTCTTACTAATCTCATTCTAAGGGAGTTACAGGTAGTGGAAGTATGATTCATGTTAAATTAACTTTCATTTCTCTCACTCAGCTTCTTTCTTGTGTATTTGAACTTCTATTTTGCTTAAAATACTATTTTTCTCTGTATTTTCATGTGGGATATTTTGGGTTCATTAAAATATGTTTATAAAGAAAAAGCTTAATTTAGTACTCAGAAAAAAATCATTTTAGTTCCTTTGATGACCAAATGGTTTTTTGCAAAGTTGAACATTCAAAAAAATTTAACTGGTTATATACCCTGAATTATCAGTTATTATTAACATCTATTTCAAAACCATGTTAATTTCTTGCAGGTTCAATTATTTTGTTTTACTTTTAAATTGAGTATAGCCTGGTTGTTTGAGCTGTTATAAAATACTCTCAATCACTAGTCAGGCATTTTATGTGTCTCTCATATCTCTAATAAGTTGGATCAACCTTACTTAGGAAAATCTAGGAGAAGATGACTCTTTTAAAAAATATTTTCTGAATTAGTATGTCTCAAAATAAGTTGAAAACTTCCTAAGGGTGGGCTTCTGAATTTTCAGTTTCAGATTTGATCAAATTCCCTATTTAATTTTCTTGGAAACAATGAGTTCCCTAACACAGGACAATCATCCCCATTTGACTTTTCCTTCTTTGTCTGAATAATTAACAGATCCCATCTACCCTATTCTACTGCTCTGTGTTGTATGCCACAAATGTGCAGGCAAGGTTCTAAGTGCTTTGACCTTTTTGGCAAATTGAAAAGGAACAATGATTAAACAAACTTCAGCTTACAGTGAATTTTACAATTATGGGAAGCACACTTCTGATGGATACTAAAGAGTTTGTGGGAACTAAAATGCCTCCAAACTGTTTTCCCCATAAAATGGGATACTGAATAATCTCTTTATGTTTACTTTAATGTGCATTGAAGAAAAGCACTTTTTATAAAGTACTTAAGAGAGAAAGAACCCCACTGAATATTTTTCTTTCTTTTTTGTTATTTTGTTGTTGTTGTTCTGTTACTTCCCCCTTGATGAAAGTTGTTCACGTGTATGTAACTTGGCATTTCAAACAAGATGAAATTATTTCTTCTCACTTCAATTTTTTTCCTTTGGGGCCAATTTGGGGGAAAAAAAAGAAACTATTTTCACTTAGGACTTTAGGAAGCAGTCAAAATGAGCTGGACTCTGAACAAAAATGCAGAGACTCTGAATAGGGCAAGAGCAGGAAAATGGTTCATTGGTGGCTTCTGTCTTCTACCTCAGGTTGCTGATGGCCTTTGGAAAATTCAAAATTGCAATGATAAAGGAGCTTAGTATCTTTATAGGGGATGGATGTGATTTACATCAAATCATGATTCCTGATTTCATTTACTAAGAGAATAAAGCAGTAAAAGGTTTTTTAAAAAAAAGAATTACAAAGACTACTTTTAAGTTCTAATTAGTTATTTTGATGGACACACAAAAAACAGATATTCAGATTCTGAAGTTTTCTGCCTCAGAGAAATAGAAATACCTAACTGTTTTTCCTTTCCATATTGTTTCATGGCAGATATTATTGTACCTTGTATCCATGAGGGACTGGTTCCCAAATTCCATCCCACCCCTGCAGATACCATAATCTGCAGATGCTCAGATCCTTTGGATAAAATGGTATAGTATCTGAATATAACCTACACACATCTTCTTAATAAACTTTAAATCATCTCTAAATTACTTAAAAGATAATATAAATACTACATATCCAGTTATTATACTATGTTGTTTAGAAAATAATGACAAGGAAAAATACCTGTATATGATCAATAGAGACACAATTTAGAGAAAACATATATTTTTAATCTAAGGATACAGAACCCACCAATAATAAATATTAAGGGAAAATAAGCTGCTAATAAAACTTTATAGGAGGACCCAAAAAACAGCTTAACATAATAAAAATCCCTAGGTCTTCATGGTATACTCCATAGTAAATAATAAAACAGGTGATATCTAGATTTAGCCCCAGGAAAATGAGATGTGAATTTGAACATGTACGAGTATTGTTTTTTTATAAGATCCAAGTATTATTTTTATGGAAGGTATTTTATGTTCTAAGTTCCTTACAAATGCAACTTTTCTCTTAGCTTCTATGAAGCATGATCACACTTTCTGGTCTATCCATTCACTGGCTGCGTCTAGTTCTTGCACCCAGGACTGGGCTGTCTAACTTCCTACTCCCTGCTTTCCTCTACACTATCGCACTGCAGTGAATGCTAAGATACAATCAGACATGGTCCAGTTCCTCCATCTCAAAGATTTGCATCCTAAGGGCGAATTCAGGAAGACCAGGGTATTCGTGTCCCATCCGTGTCTACTGCCTTCCATGAACCAGGCTCATGGAAGGTGGGCACAATGATGTTACCTACCTCAGAGAATTGCCATGAGGATTAAATATCAAGTGCTAAGCACAGTGCCTGGATTAAAGGGGGTGCTCAATAAGTGTTACCTAGATTTAGTATTCACAGAAATACTGTTAGGATAAAGGGTTATCATATATGAGAGTTAAAATTTTTCTTTTGACTAAAAGGAGTTTTATAAGTTAAAGATAATATTTTCTTACTTGAATAATTTCAAAACAAGAGAATGTTAAGAACCAGGGGTGATATTCATCTTTCTAATTTCTAAACCTAAACGTAACATTTCCTAGTAAGGCTTTAAGAGTTTTTATTTTATTTTTAACATTTGCTTTTGTCTAAGTTATGTTATTTCTAAGCAGTATATGTGTAATATTATTTCTCTGGATAATATTAAACATAAAACAAAATGTTGTATATCACAATTAAATGAAATTTAATACTATTATGATCACAGAAAAAGACTAAACCTGTTGATGATTCTCAAAAATTGTAAAAGTGCTAATGACATGTAAACCAGCATACATGCATAAACTATTCCTTATTGCTACTTAATTATTTTATATGCAGCAAATAAAACAATGTTAGGCAACATTTGTGCTTACAGTGTCTTAAGCAGAGTTGCTATGTAGAAAGCTGAAATATGTGTGTGTGTGTGTGTATAATTTTTTCATTAAAATTCTACATTAGAAATCCAAGGAGAAAAAGTTTATTTGCCAACCACTCTGAACACAATTTGGTGTGGGTTTTTTTTAATATTCATTACTTTTTTTACTTTATATGGTGCTGATGATTGAACCTAGTGTCTCACGCATGCTAGGTGAGCATTCTACCTCTGAGACACAACCCCAGTTCATGGTGTGTTTTAAAAAGGATTATGAAACACTACTGTTTTGTGTCAATAGACATGTTTCATTCATATATATATAT